GACAAACTCTTTGTATGTGCAACATACTTGTCGAAATGAAGTGTCTCTGATTCTGATTTACCAAGTTATTTACCGCTACTGAAATGTGTATAAACTAGTCTTTGTACTTGGACACCTATATGAACCTTTGTTCTTGAATTCAAGTGTATACATACATTTTTACCTAATAAATAAACATTATTATAATAAAAATAATCAAACATTTTCGTGTTTTTTCTGGGGTCATACCACTTGACTTGGTAAATGGAACCAGTCTAACCCTGACTCATAAAAGACTATTTTTTTGTGATCAGTTGTGACTGATTTTGGCATTTTCGCATTGCAGGTTACTCGTGGTCTTCTTTACGATGCAATAACTTGTCCACTCTTTCCTAAAAGCATGTCAGAATAAAAGTTCTTTATTATGGGTTGTGATGCATGATTGTATCTATACATCATATGTCTTATATATGCTGAATATAGGCATCTACTCCTTTGTAACAATCATGTCCACTATGTACCTACATGTAATATGTTTAATATAAATATAACTATTTGTAATAAGACGTTTTCAAAGCCTGACACTAAAGCTAACTCATATCTTAAGCTCACTAACAAGAAATATTTCTGCTCTTGAAGTTGTCAAAAATGAAACATGCAGCTTTTGTAAAAAGCACTTTACTAAGGTTAGTATGTTAGCTAGGTTTTCCTATGAAGTTAGAACTTTTTCAACCTAAAAACATGCACATACACACACAAACATGCCTTTCTGCAAGACGCTTCTTTAAAAGAAGAAAAGAAAAGAAAAGGAAAGGGGCTGGATGTAAAGGAACATTCTCGGTGAGCGGCTGTCAGCCTGTGCTTTCATTAAGAAAGCCAAACCCATGATTATCACTGCCTCCACCTCTGCAGGGTGGAGAGCACAGCTCTGCAGCGCTATGCAAATCCAGCCCGCGCCCTGCAGCTGCACCATTCACTCACACTGACGAGCAACTCTCTGCACTCCTTATCACAACCCGCAAACTAATCCACTCCAGCTCACAGCCCATTTACCCTTTTACCCATCAAGCACAACAGATAAGAAAATCAAAGGTATGACGCAAGAGTAGGAATCGAAATAAGATGCCTGAAGGAGAGAGGGGAGGAGATAAAGAGACTTTGAATGCATGTGCAAGAGCAGAAAAAAAACAGTGCTGGGGCAATTAGTAGAGAATAAGATGCAATCTTTTCATCATTCTTCTGGATGATATGCAGCATGTGTCCATTTAGCAGCTGGTGCAACTTTTCCCCAAGTTCGACAAGTGGCACACAGTGCAGGAAAAACAATCCTCTGCCAACAGCAATTATTCCAGTCGATAAACTAATTCTGATCTAATCCCACTTCCCTTTAGTCTCATCTCTCATTTAAATGCAGCCCCATGAACTGAACACGAAGCGATAATGGATCTTTATGACCATCATAAAACCACTTCACACCTGTAGCATCCAGCCAATCAAGTTAACTACAGGTGTCAATCAAAGCTGCTCAGAATAGTTTTCATTAACATACTGCACCACAACCTGCTGGGGTTTTTAGTGTGTGCTTATGCCCATGGATCAGTTTCCTTGTTCTAGCCCAGGGGTCAGCAACATGCGGCTCTTTTACTGCCCTGTTGCGGCTCCCCAGCATAATTAAATTTTTAGGTAAAACTACTAACTTTGCAGTAAATTAAAGTTCTGCTGAATGTTTTAACACTTCTAACAGTTTTAACAATAAAGGGTCTTAAACACTGGAGTTAATGCATAACTGCTAATTCACCCTTTAACCCTGAAGGTTGGTGCGCAGACTGCTGGTCACCACAGCAATGCAGACAACAATCTTGCCTAGCTAGCAGCTAATGAAAAGACAAAGAGAAAGATTTAAGATGAATAAAGCAGGAGTGCAAAACATACGGTCCAGACCACGGGTTAATGAGTCAAAAATGGGACTCACAGTAAACTCACAGTACAGTTCCTGGTTTATCCACCTCGTCGTTTTCTGGTTTTATTGTCACCCAGATTCAGTTACTGATTTATCTGTGAGATGTCCTTGTTGCCATTCCTGGCGCAGTTTCCAAGTGGTGAATAATGAACACATGCAGGCTAGCAGCTTTGTGCATTGATAATCGTCTGTCAAAGGAACATCAGGTGGATTCAGAATGAGTGTTCCAAGAAAAATGGACAAGGGCATCTTTCTTTTTGGAAATAAACTACAAACCTTCTTTTAATTTGTTCCCAGCAACCATGAGCAAAGGATTTAACAAAACACTATGAAACAAAATCATGATAAAAAGTACAAGCAGATTACTGGCAGCTACAGATAGACAAGATAAACAAGCTAACCATAGCTCTTAAAAAGCATGACTGATGCTGCTCTGAATGCTAGTTTTATAATTGCCACATTCTGAACTGGAGTTCATTAAAACTTGCATGTTGAAGGCAGCTGCACTTGTATGCTCTGAAAAGTGACAGGCTTTTGCTGATATAAGCTTGAGACAAACTGTAAAAGACAGAGTTACAGACTTGGACAGGCAGTTGAAGGAGAGAGTAAAATCATGCATTAGTTTTTCAAAGGCAGTAGACGAGAGCACAGACAGTAGTGTTGTGGCTTAGCTCGCAGTTTTCTTTAGAGGTTTTTACAAAACGTTTATTTGACCGCCACCGAACAGTTTGTTGAACAGTTAAGCAGTAAATGTTAACAAGAAGCTTTAACAATTGATCTGCACTGTGTTTATTGTGGTAAAGTTACAGCACTACAAAGCAATAACAATCTGCATTGCTTTATTGAAGTCATATGAATAGGCCAGTCACTGATCGTAATTTGAAAAACACATTATAAAATGAAACAAAATGGCACATATTATTGACAAGTGACTGGATATATTGATGTGACTGGATATTCTGATGGTTCCTTTAATGTGAGTTTTTGACCACAAATAAGTTTTATACCCCTGATCTAAAGCAATAAACCACTCAAGGCCTTTTGTTACCACAATTTAGCCACATTTAAGAGGTATTGTTAGACCAACGCAAAGAGGGGCAAAACCAGAGCTATTTTCTGCGACAAAATGCAATATGAAAAAAAAGCATTATGATAGGAGATCTAAAAAATCCATCCAAGTGCCAATCATCTGTTGCAAGTACCAAAGAATGCTGCAGGGAGACAACACCTTATTTGGTGTCTGGTCCAAATTTCAGACCAAAGCTCAAATGGAGTTCACTAATTTGATGCACACCAGGGTTCGACTCGCCATTCTCACTTGTTGAACCACAGTATCAGAATAATTGCATCAGGGTTCAGTTTTATCGAACCAGGTCTGCCAAATGTGAACACACCCTTAAACACCTGTGTCACTACTTGCTTGAATATAGTCCACCAACAAAAAAATATCCAGCCAACAGTGGTCCTGTGCTCAGAAATTGCCCACTGATGATGGGCTAGAGTGTGGCTAGCATAAATTCCGCATAGAAGAAGATAAGGTATAGCTTCTAACTGTATACTTAAAAGGTGTACTAACAAGGTAGGTGTGGTATGCCTAGTCTGTCGCAATCATGAAATTTTAGCTGACAGTTAACTGCCATATAAATAATTGTGATTAACAAATTGTCTTCTTCGTATGCAACTGGCTAAATTGGCGGATTAGTTTTGTTGCTTCCTAGCTGTTGACACTTAGTAGCTACCAAATGATGAAAGACACAACTCAAGCTCAAATAAACAAATAAAAATGCCTCAATAAAAGCGTTTTCTGCTTTAAAAAAAAAAACAAAACAAAAAAAACATGTATTTGCCTCAACCCAATTTATGAAAACCCACCCAATCTGCTGTTTGCTGCAATGTAAATATATGACTATGAAAGCTGATAACTGTGGAAAATGAGCTCAAATAAAAGCATTCAGGCAATTATGTAATAACTGTGACAGGCCTTCTAGTATGTATACACAGGGTTTAAAAGGATCAACAAAGTTTCTATGCCTGATACACTGATAACTTATGCCAAATAAAAAAATCAGGGCAGTGTTTTTATAGTACTTTGATTTTTCAGGACAAGGGTGGATAACAAATTGTACATAGCAACACATGGTCTACGTTCAGAAATATATATATTCACAAAGTGCTCCTATATGGCCTGATGAAACAGCCTCTGAGTGCAGGTACAATGTAGGTGTGCCTAATAAACTGGCAACACATAGCTCTGCTGTGGGCATAAGCCATTTAATACATGGATACAGCTGACAGAAAGATGCTGTAAAATGCACCATCTAATAAGACAGCAAGCTCAGAATCTCTCAGAGTAAAAGCTCTGCACCTATGCCTGAGTTCATTACTGAGATTCTAATGCAGACAGACTGAGTCAAAGGATCACTTGGGCTGCTTAATAAACCATAGACCTGGAAGAGCAAAGTTGGGATCTCTGAGAATTTGCAGATTCAAACTGCTAGGAAGACTGTGAGCATTTTCATTAGATGTTGTCTTGGTGGGTCCCAAGTGGAATAACACAGAAAATGTGCTGAACACAGCAAGACCAGGCTTCAGAAGGGTAGGCAGAGTAGGCCACACTGGGTCTCCATAAAGGCTGATGACACGGAGCAAATAGTGAAACATGGGAAGAATTAGCTGACTGCTATCTACGGAGCTTGTCCCTTAGTCATGCTTCAGTGCCCGGGGAGCCCACATAGCTGCAGTGTGTGTATGCTGATTCAGCAGCAGTCTCAAGCCAATGACCAGTGGCACTGCAGGCCAATATGCAACGTGAATGACTTTCACTATTTTAGGACTGAACACTGTCTTATCGCACAGTTCCTTTTCAGAAGGTGAAATGGTTTGCGTGTGTGTTACAAAGCTAAGGAATCTGTACGCCCACAAAACAGATGACACTTCATCTGCTCCCTTTCTTTTTTGGTCTAGCACTGACATTACTAACACCTACTTCTGGCTTCACTACCTCTTTCACTCTGTCTCGCTTACTCTCTCTCACACACAGATAGTGTAAAATGTTACTGACCTCTCCTTGAAGTCTAGGAAGATCTTTCCCAGGCCGTTGCCTCCGCTCACCATGTTCAGGTCAATGGCTCTCAGCAGGGCAAAATGGACTTTGATGATATCCTACAGAAAATTACAGTGTCAGGGCCATTCATGCTTTAATCCAGCGCTGTGCACTAATACACAGTGTGACTAAGAGTTTACTAGAACTAGATAGACCACTAAGCACATAAAGAGAGAAACATCTTTACAGACAGAGGTACCTGCAAACGCATGGGTGTATATCAATGCACCTCTAAACAACCGCATTACCCATTTATTTATTACCCAATACCCATTATTTGTGGTATAAATCAGTCCAGCAAATACACAAACCACAGTGTAGTGAGTTTACAGTTATCAAATGCCAAATACAAACCTTAATTCCAAAAATGTTGTGACAGTATGTGTAAATAAAATCAGAAAACAGAGGACTGTGAATCACTTTTGACCTGTATTTAACAGAAAACCATACAAAGATATTTCACGTTTTTATGTCCCTTATCAACTTCATTGTATTTTTTGTAAATAAACTCTGATTCTGAAAATGATGCCTGCAATACATAAAAAAAAAACTGTCAGGGGCAATTTAAGACTAGGAACATTGTGAAATGTTTAAAAATCACCTTAAATAGGTGATGCAATCATGCTCAGTTAGAAAAGGAGCATCTAGGAAAGGCATAGTCATTTACAAGCAAGGATGGGTCAAGGCTCTCCACTAACAAAATAACGTTTCAGCAAATAAACCAAGAGCTTAAGAACAATGTTCCTCAACAAATTTGTAGGTATTTCACCTTCTATGGTACATAACGTCATCAAAAGATCCAGGGAATTCAGAAATCTCCTGGCGGTAAGGGCAAGGCTGAAAATCTGAAAACTGAATGTGAGTGACCTTTGAACTCTAAGACCACACTGCAATAAAACCTGGCATGCTTCTGTGATCAATATCACCACATGAGCTTAGGAACACTTTGGCAAGCCACTGCCAGTGCTGTTCATCGCTGCAGCCACAAATGCAAGTCTGTTGGTGCACAGTGGAAGCCATTTGTCAACAACGTCCAGAAATGCTGCCCACTTCTCTGGACTCCAGCTTGTCTGAAAGGGACTGATGCACACTGGAAACATGCATTGTGATCTGACAAGTCATCCTTTCAGATGAAGGCATCATTAATGCTGAAAGATATATGCACATTTGCTGCCACTAAGACAATGTCATTTTCAGGGATGCCCAGACTTTCAGCGCCACATTCTGCATGTGTTACAACAGAATGGCTGCTTAATCAGAGAGTGCTGTTTGTGGTGTTTTCAGTTTAATACAGGTCAAACAGTATACTGTCACACCTACATTGGAATTGAGGTTTGTAAATTCTTACATGACTTTAAGACACTTCAGCATGTTATTACATTTTAAAGTGCAGTATAAAAAATTATTTGTATAAGACTATTTACACATGTGCCTAAAAGTATTCATACTGGCTTGAAAATTCACAAATACCTTCTAATAATGCATAACACGTATTTGGTAATGGTATAGAAAGTGTAAACATAAAACAAATGCTTTAGAGCTCTTTTCAGTTTAGAATAAACGTGGACCCACCTCTAGGTTAACAAAGATGGCCTCCATCTCCTGTGGAGTTAAGACCTGCTTCAGGGGTATCATGTAACTCTGAGGGAACAAACAAGGCAAGAAATCTCAGCTGCAATTTTAAATGCAAATTTGTGTTTATCTAAAAATTCAACAGCGATGAGGTGTAGGTGATGGTTGGCCGCCGATTTATAATGGGATGTTATGTGAGGGAGTTCCATGTAGGACACGGTTAGCTGTAGTTTTTTCAGATGCTGTCCTGTTCAAGCACCAGCCCTTCAGCATTAAAAGTAAAAGCTTTTAAATCCTCCTGCAGCTTTCACATTCACTTTCCCTGATCAAACAGTCCTTTCAGTAAAACACTCATTCTGTTAAGGGAACTGATTTTTGCCAAAGAAAGTAAGCAAACAAATTGCCAGTGTCATAACAAAACCTTGTGTCTCTGAAACAATAATGTTCTTAACTTCTATATTATATTATATATATATATAACACTATATTACATTATATACTGCACGTAATTTTGGACCTTTTCTATTGATCTATTCATCATGTTTACAAAAAGGGGTGTTGGTGTTTTACTATGGTGTAAAAAACATGGAGGTACAAGGTTTTGACAGCAATGCTGCAGATCCTCCAAACAGCATACAAAGGCATCGACAAAGGCATCGACTCATTTATCTCAATTGAAATATAATAAAGAGACTGTGTGTGAGAGTAATATTGATACATTTGGTTCAATTAAGGCAAAATGAATCAAATGTTCATTGGGGGCTCGTTTTGCAGGTTTATGAGTGCTTGTTTGGCTTGCTGAGCAAACAGAATTGTGCTCTGATAATAGATACAGTGAGGGTCTCTTGCTGTCTGTCATGACAGAGACTAATCACCTCACTACAGCAAAGCTGGACAGTTTTATTACAAGATTAATAATGAAGCTCTGAAGCCGACTGAGTGTGTAAGAATGAGTGAGAGTACTACAGAGAAAAAAATATATAGATTGTAAGAGAGAGAGAGAGTGAGAGTGTGAGAGAGAGGGAAGGGGATGTTGGCAACCACATGTTGAAGGATGCGCTGGGTGTTAAATTAAAGTTGTGTGTGTGTTACTCATTACACGTGTGTAAGGCTGCATAAGTAATGCCTGAAGGACTCTCTGCCGATAGTATTGATCTGCTGAGAGGACATCTGTATTCTCTCATTAAGCCCTGAGTGTCAGAGGTTTCTCCTCAAGGCAGAGGTGTGAGTCTCTCTCTATTTCTTTTCTAGTAACAACTAGAAACAACTTTCTGTACCCTTCTGTACTCTCGTCTCTATAGCCCAGTTGTCAAATTAAACAACATTTCAGGTGGAAAGGGGGATTCAAAAGACTAGTGGTGGGGAGAGAAGTAGCTTTTCATGCTATAACAACACAATGTGTCATTAACTTGTAACATTTCATACTGCATTGTGCTAGCATGTTAGGTTGTGGCTACTGCCTTCACTTAGGGCTAGTGTGTTGGCTTTGTGCTAATATATCGGATCGGGACTGCGATAGCATGTCCACTCATTCACACAAACTTCTCTTTGTAAAGTCATCGATCTAAAACAAAAAAAAAGATAAATAATCAATTTGGTGTTGTGGTGGTTAAGCTTGAATGATTTTCCTGTTTTTTTGTCTCACACTATTCTGTTTTACTTTTGCTACATTTATAAATGACAGCTTTTGTTCAGTGTTTATATTCGGCTAAGCGACCAGTCTGAATGAATCAGGCAAAACTCCACTGTGCCATTCTAAAACCTCTTTTATAATGTTCAATTGTCTAACAAATTGAAAATGAGGCATATTTTCAAGCACTTTGTATTTTTGCTGTATCAAAAACTGCTGAATATGCTCACAACTTGCTCTATATTGAGCTCTGCCTTCACAAAGCGTTGGACTGGTTTAGAAATTTCACACTCACTTTGTTCCCACCTACATTTAGCATAATTTTTTTCATGGTTGTCTTCTATCCACCACTGTGTCCTATTTCAGCCACACCTTGTCTTCTTCTGTCAGTGACATCCTCTCCTCTTCCTCTTACTATCTCATCTCATTTCATTCTCTCCTCCAGTCAGACTCTATTCCTACCCAGAATGTCACTGTAACCTTGTCCTCCTTCTGGGCTCTCTCTAGCACTGTAGAAAAGCTCTCAGTGCGCACACACTCACCTTCTCAATGTCCTCCAGTGTCTTGTAGTACTTCGCCTCGGTCTCCTGGATCTCCACCAAGCAGCAGTTCCTCTTGTCGTCCTCAGTCATGCCCATTTTCTGTGATGGAAAGAGCAAGCACACAAACACACGATACTGTAGGCCATTTTGCAGGTGAAAGCACTGCTGTTTTTCTGAATGCCTGTCCAAGAACCAGACTGTTAGAGGAACTGCTACATTTTGGAGGAAGCAGACCAAAGGCGGCAACAGGAAAGGACAAAGTGCAACAAAGAATATTTGACAAAAACAAGAACCCATAGAGATGCAATGGATCACATTTGACAGGGACTAAAGGTAGGGGAATTCATTCATCATTCTAAATATCATCCTGCAGCTGTAACTAAGAAGTTGAAGGCAAAAAAAAGTCTTTTATTCAAGTAAGACCAATTCAATACAAGAACAGTGGCAAAACCTGATCCAACAGAACACAATCCAGATGATGAAATGTAATCCTGGCCACGCTGGGACAATGCTAATGGTTTGGCAGCTTTTGAGACAGAATTAGTCTAAGAGCATGGTGGCACAGTCAAGGACCAAAGCTCTAATGAACATCTGGGTCTGCTGCACTCACGCAGCACAACATCTGGGGCCAGCAGTCACCTCAGCCAAGGCAACCAGCCTGCACATCCACATACATCTACCATCAGATAAACAGAGAGAGATCGAGAGAGCAAGAGAGCGAGAGTGAGTTAGAGAAGAGAAAAAGATCTATAAGACATTTTTTTGTTTTCCGTTTCATCCTTTCACTACTTTAAATCATTATTCTTGTGTTTTGATGGTTTAAACTATTTTTTCCTGTAATTGAAACCAAAAATACTTATATCTCTAAACTAAAGATGGCATGATATCACTTTATCTTTTCCAATTCCAATCACACTCACACTTTTTTTTTAACCTCAATATCTGATTCAGCATTTTCTGCTGATATTGGCCTGATACAGATACCCAGCAATACCAATGTCATCTCCACTCTAAATACGCCAAATGTTTATTTATTTTGCTTTTGTTAGGCTTTGCCAATGCATAATTAACATGCATTGTAGCTCATTTAAATCTGCCACCGGAGGAGGTTGCTGTGTGCACATCCCTGCAATTGTAAAAACATTTTAACAATTTCAGCATGTAGAAATGGAGTGTTCTGAGTTATCCATCACTATATAAAATATGCATAAGGCTTCCTTTTCTGTTGAGTGTGTTCCGAGTAAGCATGTGAGCTCATTCTAAACAGAATTTACATCTGTAAAAGTAGGTAAAGCAGCAGAAAAAGCAGTATTTTGGCAGTGGCCTTAAAGGGTCCAATATGGTCATAACAGTAAATTTAATTGAATCAAAGTGAACTGAATGAAACTAATATGCAACTGAGAGAGAGCAATAGAAAAGAGAAATGAAAGAAAAAGGAAGGAAAACAGATTGCATTCAGTCTTCCAGCAGGCCTTTACCTAACAGCAGAGCCCAGAACCCACCACACCATCACGTTCGGGTGTGGACCTTTTAGAAGAAGAATAAACGTGTGTTACTGAATTTTACAGACAAAACCCAGGTACATCATAGTGTGCTTGTAACCCAGACTGGGTTTTGTCAGCAGCTGGGAGCGGTTGTGGCGTTAAAGTGGAAGAGATCGGAGGTGTTTCTGATGGCTCGGTACTGCGGGAGGAACAGCTAATCCAATAAGAGCCACAGACACACACACACACTCCGGAGCACAGAGTATGTCTGGGGAAACACCCAGTTAAGCTCTCTTTTTCTTTGTCTGTCTCTTTCTGGAGCCATCTCTGAGCCAGTGTCTGTCTGTCTGTCTATATTTATCACTAGTTTGCCCCTTTTTCATTTGAGTCACTGTGCTTGTGTCACTGGGTTGCTGACGTATCCGCAAGATTCTCACTGAGAAAAAAAAGATCTTTTTAAATCTACCCAATATGTCTTACATTTCTGACTGTGAGACTGCTATAAGAATATTATAAGATTACTCAACCAATTTCTAGACATTCTGGGCATTATTTCTTGAAATAAGCAGAAGAATCTGCCCATGGAAGATCATTTTTCCATATCATGGAAAATTGTTTTTTTTGTCATTTTTTAAAATAAAAAAAAACTGACATAATTTGACACAGTATACAAGCATTCTCAAATATTTGAAATGTACATTTCACTCCCAGTCCATTCAGTGCATATTTGGAAACTAGGATGAAAATAGAGCCTGTTTAAAATTCAATGTTTTTGTGATGTCATGAAAATTAGTGCGTTTACATATATCCGCTTATTCAATCTACAGTAGTTTAGCCCTGCCCATTCATACTGAAGCCATCTGACTGCGGCACAATAAAGAGTAGCCAATCAGAACAGAGGTCATTTACGTATATCAATCTTAAATGCACAGTAACTAAAAACTTTGTTTCATACTAACACATAGAGATGTTGGAAAATGGTCATGTAAAAATAAATTATGACCATTTTTGGTACATAAATACACACAAACACCATAAACGCACCTAAAATGACAACAAAAATATAGGATATGGGCCCTTTAAAATGAATAAAAATGTCTAGAAACAGACTGAATAATCTTTTCATGCTCATACAACAATCTCATAATGAGAAATATTACATATATTGACTGGGTTTCACTTGCCAAGCTATCATTTTTTGCCATGCTGTGGCTGATGACACAAATGAGGTATGCGTGTGTAGGCAGGCCGGGCCCAGCAGGGATTTCACCCAGCAGGGGGGCTCATCTCCTCCCTTGGTGGCTTAAAATAAGCTCTCGCTACTTCCCTGAGACAGAACAGCACTTTCCAGATCAGTGAGGGGCATCTGTGTTGAGGGATCTGCTGCTACTGCCTGACTTTTTATTTTGAGAGAGCAACCACCCACTCTTATTATGCTCATCCCACCAAAAAGCTCATTTCTAATGGGACTGTATCATTGCAGGGTTTAATAGGGTATTTATGCCATGAGCCAAATGCTTGGTTGTAAACAAAGCAAATAATCCAAAGCCGTAACACAGTGTCCTTCTGCTGAAAATTCACTGTTTCTAGAACTGTGCAAAAGCACTTTTCTGGAAGATTACCTTGTACTAATATGACGACCACTACTCTAATTCACTTTTATTGCATTTCCTGTCGAAGTTTGCTATGTATGTCTGGTCATTCTACAAAATGACAAGTTCAAATTACACTGGGTACATTTTTCTGTTGAAGATCTTGATTAACTGTACTACTAAACTTAGGTCAGTGGACCCGACTGAGAGGACCCAAATGTTTGTTTACAACCGTGCAAGCGGTCCCCTATCAAGCACAGAGTCAGCTGCAGGTGTGGACACACTGGACACTAAGAGGAACAGAGAGAAGAGCACTAGGGGAGTAGGACAGTCATAACCAGGAGGATCAGATCAGGATCAAACTCACCTGCATGTATCTGATCTGCAGCGTTAAGGAGGCAAAGTGGCATATGTAAGCAGAGCGCGTTAACTCGTGCACACAGCCTTGGGAACAGTGCAGGAAAAACATTGTCTTTCTTCTAACACAGTCTAAATGACCTCTCAAACATGTGCATACAACAGAGGCGGCTGGTTGGTAGAGGGAAGGAAGGACCACCCTTGCCAAAATTGCTCTATCAAATAAAATGTAAAAATGCATTCAAACATATTTAACTTACTTGATCAGTCTCATTAACTATCAAGAAAACACAACAACAGTTCTGTAACTTCCATAGAACATATGCTGCTCTGCAGAGTCAACTAGTTACAGTAGCCACAGAGATAGAGACATTTAGTAGAGATACTGTTATTAGTAGCTCTGTTTACATTCTTACTACAGTATATTCATTTGATTTGTCCTGTTAATATTGTTAGGTAGAGTATGTTTTTGAGATTTTGTTGTTGTTGGTTGAGTCTTTGATTATCTTTGGCAAAGCTGGCTAGTTAGTAGCCATGTACACCAGAAGCTGGGATGGATTTTTTTTAAGAATGCCATTCAATGAGACAAATAATAATAGATTTTTAACTTTTCATGAAACTGTCTTGCATTTTACCAGGACATCTATGCAATTCATGATCCTTAATAAGTTATTTATTAATAAGCTATTATTTACTGTAACTTCCTCCTGTGCTCCCCAAATCTGTAAGTCACCAGCCACCCCTGGCACACACACTTCCTCTCTCTTTCTCTCTCTCATACACACACACACACGTGCACACACACACACAGCACACTCATACACATACACATACACACAACACACTCACACACATACACACACACAATAATGAATGAAGTGGCTCACTTACCATGGGCTGTCTAACTTCCACCTTAATGATGTCCTCGTAGATATCATCTCCTTCATCTTCACATGGCACGCAGTCATAGATGTCGTCCTCCCCCACATCGTGTTCACTATGGACACACAAATTGAACATGTTAATCACAGCTGAAGGAACAAAAACACAAAATTCCAGAAACAAATACCCAATAGATGGGTATGTATGTATATACATATATATATATATATATATATACACACACACACACACACACGCTTTACCCTTCACAATTCCCTTTGTTCAATCATAGGCTATACATGCATAACACTGACTTATTAACTACATTCATATATTATAACACAGATTTGGCAAATGAAGCTCTGGTACATGCCATTTAATCTTTGGTAGAGATACTTGATTCTGCCAGTTGGTTGATTTGATGGAGTCACTTCTTCGCTGAATCAGCTGGATGATGTAACCTAAGCTGTGTTTGCAAACTGATAGGATTACCACCCTTGCTAATAATCTGGCATGTAACACTTAACATCCAGCGGTTTCCCCATATTTGGATGGTAATTATACGGGAGCATATACCATGACTATAAGGTAAAGTTCTGTGTCACTTACGTGCTGTCATTCATTAATTAAAGAGCTATCAAAAATTTACTGTTTATTGCACTGGTTCTGCAGACGATAATCACTTTTTTACATTACTGTCCAAGCTTAGCTTTAAACAAACCTTTCCTTTCATGGAACTAAGGATATAGCAGTTTTTTTACTGACCATGTTAACAACACCAGGTTAAATAATAACTGTAATAGTATTTTTCTTTATACTCCTTACATTACTACATGTTCTTCAGGTATCCACAATCAGCAGAGAAAGGCATTCACTCAATAATGGAAGATAATGGTCCACATAATGGTCTTAAATGCTCATGGTAGTGTAGTCAGCATTGTGAAAAGAATAACTGCAATGCACTTAAGGCTCCAAGACCGACCTAAAAGACCTGAGAAGCTAAAGAAGGCAAGCTATGACAAAGCTCTAACAATCAAGTAAAAATGCACAGAGATGTGATATCCTTTCAGTTCTTTCTTTTTTTTTTTTTGTCTTTTCTTCTCACAATTATCTCACCAGTGTTAGCCACGGCCAGTTCTCAACCACTGTCTGACTCTCTCCTATTGTACATTTCCAACCAGACTGGGAGTGTGAAGGCTAACATGTGCTTGCTCTGAGACATGTGAAGCCTCCAGATATCTTTTCCAAACTCCTATTAATGCAAAATTTTAGAACAGCTAAATGCACTTGGAGAACAGCACAGAACTACCCAAACAGGCTGCCACTGGCCAACCTTGTAATGAAAGAGGAACTAAGACATCCTTTCCTCACAGGGAATGGGCACATTTGATGTACCCATGCTTGCCCAAAAATATGTTCTTTCATAGCTTCTGTTTCTAAGCTACTGTTACATGGGTGGGTAAGCCTTACATAACATCAGCAAAATACAGCCTATTCAACCAAAAGTGAAATTTTAGCACTTAACTTTGCTCTTGGAAAAACAGGACCACTACAATGTTTGCTTAGAGATGCTCTACAATGTTGAGTTTCCTATTCAAAATACTAAACAACTGAGCTGGACTATGTTGTTGTAGCTAATTAAAGTTGAACAGATTGAAAATGACATATGCCAACACACTAACATTAGTTTGATGAAACACTCCTCTATTCTACCACACCCACACAAAATAAAAAGAATTTGAAATAGATAATTACATAACTATTTTGTGAAATTTTAATACATTGAAAATGGCAACTGCAATTTTCAAATCCTGTTTGAACTTCTGAAAGGCTGCGGATGGTTATTGTTTAGTTAAGTCCATTTTTATAGTTGTGAAAAACTGATAATTTGATTATTATTTAATTTGATTAATCAGTAGTTTACTGATCACTAATAGAATCAATCATCTATCACTCTCTCACCGAGCAGCACTACAACCAATCAAAATACACATTTGACCTGACAATTGTGCAAGACCTAGCAGATCAGCAAAACTGCCACCATCAGATCACCAGATAAACATGGTAATTGTCATTTTCACATTGTTCTAAAAAAATATGGTGGTTTGGAACTTTTGAAAAGAAAAAGAAACATTTTTTTGAATGGTTTGTTATTGTTCAGTTAAGTCCATTTATATAGTTAGGCTTGTTTGAGAAACTGATTATTTGATTATTCAATTGATTAATCAGTAGCTTACTTGACTACTAATAGAGTCAACAATGACAGTCTGTGATTTTTTTCCTGGTGTGAGACTGATATAGATGTACCATTAAAGATATTTTGATTAGGGGCCTGACGTGTGTGTGTGTGCACGTGTTCCTCAGACAGCTTCAGTGGCATCCATCTGTGCACACATTGCCTTCATTCTCCCAGGCGAGTGAAGGCCTGGCTCAGTCTGAGTGGCCTATTCTAAAGCGCCTGACATCCACGTACGGTGTCCTTCCCTGGCTTGTCCCAGCTGTGCACTCACAGCAATGACCAATCAGCCATCACTTCATCACTCTCTCACTGAGCAGGAGCACAAACATTTAAAATACACGTCCATGTGTACGCAAATGTCAGAGACTACCTGTCAGTTATTTAATTTCTAGTCAAAACGGTCATCAAGTATAAAAGCTATTCATTTTTCAGGAGATTGGATATAGGTCAATCCACTTGCATAAGGAAGGGGAATGTCAAAGCAAAATAAGTGAAAAAAACTGGACTTTCCAAAACTGTAGTTCTGAAATCAAAGTTGTTGTTATGAAAATTGGACCTAACAACTGTGCAAGACCAAGTAGACCAGCAAAACCGCCACCATCAGATAAACTGTACTTCAAGCTTTCATCTTTGAGAGAGACAGGAGAAAATAAAGCTTCAATCTTGCTTCAGATCTAAAAAACACACATGCTTTTCTGTCCGTCCTTCCACTGTGAGAAGACAGTTACGCTACGGGTCTGAAAGAATAGCCAAAAAAAGAAAGTTAGCAAAAAAAAACAAAGAAGATGCCGATGTACACAGATTAACTGACTGACCAGCCCAGAGCCCAGATCTGAACACCATGTTAAATAGATGTGTTTTTCTTTGTTTTTCTTTTCCTCTGACATTGAAAAAATAACTTGTACCTAATTGCCGTTTTGACTGGAAATTAAATACATGAAGGATGGCCTCTGACTTTTCCACATTACTATATGTGAGTTAAAAAAGACGTATTTTTTCTCTCATCCTCACTCACATACACTTTCATAAAGGATGTGAAAGTTTCTTGATGACTGCACAGTGGTTTAAAACACAACGTCTTAGAACACACCAGAAACAGATGTCAAAAAGACTGCAACTTTTGCATGAAGATGCTTTACAAATGTTCTCAGTGCATGTTAAAACATAATTCCACCTGTCCAGCAGCCTGACCTTTACACTGCAATGTATATGTCATTCTACATATATTTCCAACCACAGTAGTACCAACCAAACAATCTTTAAGGTCAAAACCCAAGGTTCTGCCCATGCTTGTTAAATCAAATGAGGAATGGTTTTAAACATGATTGCACCACAATAATAGCAACCATTAAGTAATAATTCAGGTGGTAACAAAACAGATGGTTTGGGCTGCTGGTTCAAATTGCTAGCATATGAATTTTTATAAAATTTGTGAATTGTTAACACTATATGACTCCCACCAGCCTGTCCAGATGGCATGTCTGTGGTTGCTCTGCCAAAGGTTGCCATGGGCAACCCTCCACCCCTTGCCCCAAAACAGCTAACCAGTGCAACCACAATACCCTACTCAATGAATGAAGGCTTGGGACAGCCACTGACTTTTTTCTCTTCTGTTCTTACCATCTGCAGGCAAGAATAAGCATGACAAACTAATGCAGCTGGAGGTTAACCCCTGTTTGCCCGATTAATGCAGTGACTCATTCATTTAGGAGAGATGTATACAGCTACATAAGAACAGCAGGTTTAGGCAGCGCTCACTAACCAACATGACAACACTTTCTCTTTGTGTGAAAGTTTGTGTGAATATGTGCTTTAATAATGAACTATAGTTTACAGCTTAAATATTTCTGCTGAAGGATTAAGTCGATGTATGCCTACTTGACAGTAATTAGCCCTTTAACTTCATAACTCTGGGTAACAGCATTCAGACTTTGAGGGTTCTATAAGCCAATAAGAAGATTACTAATGTGGTCTTAACACACCATGACAGTATTATTACAGCTTTCAAAGTTCTCAACTTCAGCTGAATACACTTTGATGCCTCTCGATTCCAAGGCAGTCACTATGAGAGGATCTGGAAGCTCAGAGTGCAGGAGACATTCAGCACGGTTTAGCGTGGGCTTCACTGCGTCGCCGTAATTCGATCTGTTGTAGTGACACGCATCGCCACAGCTTGAGTTGAGCATGGCTGAAAGGGTACCAATCTGTGCTGAAACCAACGCATGTGAACTTTCCTCATTTTCTCTGTCTCCTGTTAATTTCAGAACAGGTGTTTCAGAATATTGGCAAAAGGCAACACCATGGATGACTGAGGCCCACACACAGTGGACAACCAATGAGGTTGGTTACGTGTGTGGAAAGAGCTGCTGGATGACCTCAAACTGTCTATGTGCATGACCTTCTGTACAACTCCAGCACCAAACTACAGTATCAGTCAAAAGTTTGGGTAGCTAATTTGTTCCGAGCAGTCAAATCAGCAAATTTAGAGCTTCTTTAAGCCTGATGAAAATGCTACTTGAGAGCGTTGCATAGCTACTTGGGAGAGCACTAAACGAGCAAAATTGTGGAAAGCAAAAATCAAGGTAAATGCTTAAAACCTAGAAAAATGATAAATCCAAAATAATTGATTCATTTTACACTTTTTTGGTCACTACACAATGCTACACATGTTATTTCATAGCTTTAAAGTTTTCACCATTACCACTTAAAACATAGTAAAAACTGGTACTGTACTACAACTACAGAAAGTTATACAATAGTTAGTTCCAACAACACAGTCTCACTGGTGAAGAAGTACTGTTTTTTCATGATAGCTACCACTTCACTGAGCACAAGCTGTTAAGTAACAACTTGCTTTACGCTGCAGCTTAGTGTTG